TGCAGACGAAGCCACGCGACTTGAAGCGTCTTTGGAACTGGGGAATAAAGAGAGCTCTGACCATAGCACAGAAGATTCAAAGAGTAAATTAGCACAGAGTTTTAGCCTTACAGGTATTTATGAAAAGAAAGTTTTTGTTTTTATAAATAACTACAGAGATATTTTTATAAAAAATAACACATTTCTGCTGACACACAGCACAAAAAATTTATAGTCACTTTGGTGTCATCCCCCTCTGACAGTGTCACACAGTGTGGTCTGCACCCCCAGCACCTCCCTAGTGACACCACTATGAATTATAGAGTTTTAAAAACCTGGCAAAAACAGATCAATGTCCATGGGGCAATGATGAACTGCATTCTACCTACCACACAATCTGCACTTCTGTGGACAAGAATAATTTGCAGTGCTTATAATTTTCTAAAACTTCCAGAGTTTTAGAATAAAACTAATTCAAAAACAGTGAAAGTCACAGGGCTGTCACAGAATTGGATAACCTTGGTTTCCAATGAAGGTACCAGTAATCTTTTAGTCCACTTCCAGGTCTCCCACAGTTTTCCCCTGTTGCTGTTCATTGCCAGTCAGTCAGTCTCTGACTCCTGGTGAGCCCATGCACGATGGAGCGAAGTGCGGCCTGGGTCTGCACCATCCGTGGTGATCCACAGGGTTTCCTGGGCTGATTCTCAGAAGTACACTGGCCTAGTCAGTTAGAAAGTGCCTGGCCTGCTTCGGAAGAATACCCACTTACCCCTTTTGCCTTTTCCCAAATTTCGGGTGATTTTTCTTGGCATTTAGAACCATACATAGAGAATATGTTCAATCAACGTGCATGAGGGTTGATATTCCTTGTAGGTAAATTCAGTAGTCCACATTTAGCTGTACCAACTCTGAGACATCTCTGGAGACTCAGACTGAAGGAAGCATGAAGCCTGTGACATGAATACAGTATTTATAGAAACAGAGCTTTTTATAAACTTCTGTTCCCTTGTATTCTGCTAGCCCCGAGATGCCTGAAAATGAAGCCACCTTCGCAATAACTGCTGGAGGAATTGGGGATGCCAAGGAGTAGGTGGCGAGCTGGCGCAGATTGCTTCTTAGTGCTTATTAGGAGCTGAAGACGTGCAGAAGCAGCCTCCAAGTTCAGACCCTGAAATAAGCATTTGTTTTTTTCACATGTTATTAAAAGAAAGTCAGCAAATGATGTTTAAGTCTTATATTTATCTTAAAGGTTCCTGCTTTCAGATAACTATGCATTGTCTGTCAATTTGGGAATATAGAGTTTGAATAGATAAATACAGATATATAGCTCTACCTGTTGAAAACTAGTTGGGGAAGGGGGGACCTGAGCCCTTCACTTTAACTTTTTAAAGTGAGCCACTAAGTAGATCGAACGTCTACAGGCCTAGACTCCCCTTCCAACACTGTTCTGGGGTTCAGTACCACCAACCTGTACATGCTGTATGTACAGGGAGAAGTTTAAGTTAGGGAGGAATGTTTTTAGGACACACACAAAAAAGCTCTTTCTATGACAGTGTCAAACTGTACACTCACCTTATAGCAACAGAAAGCAAACATTAAATTAAGCCAGGGTTGGAACCATTTAACTTTCTGCTGAGTTGATATCTATATTTATCTATTCAAACTCTGTATTTCTGAATTGGGTTGAAATTACTTTAAGAAAATGTACTTCTGGTACAAGAATTTTCTGTTGGCAAGATAAAGAAGAAGCTAATTAGAAACTTTACAATTTTGGATAATGGTAGCATGGTTTTTACATTTTGAATCTTAGAGAATTCAAGATCTGTTCTAAAATATTAAAGTCAATTTAAATGTAAATTTTCTGAATACTGATTTTAGAAGTGTTTAAAAGAATATTGTTTTTCTGACTTAAACAAAGATAAAAATTCTGTTTTCAAAATACGTGTCTGATGAAAATATCTTTAAGTTAAAATACTAATAATATATACAGTGGCAATCTTTAAGACCTAAGAAAAGTTGAAGCTCTTGTGTTGCATCACCTTGTAAGAAAATTCTGGTAACATTGGTTACAAAGGTATTTGGCTACCAATTAAGTCACTCACTCACCAACTGTATATTGAATGCAAAATGCTGAAGAATTTACCAGGAAGATATGGTTTCTGCCCCCAAAGAATGAGTACACTAATCAGAAGACTAATATTTATAAAAGAAATATAGAACAATTGATTATGTGATTTAATTTGTCAGTGGCGTTGTCCTGGATTGACTCTTAAAGAAAAAGTAGGATTCAAAACTGGGAGAGGAAAGGTTAAGATGAAGGACAGTAGATGTTATGCTAGAGAAAAAAAGACCCCAGATTCAAAACT